CCATGAAGGTGATGGACATCGATAGACACAAGTGGGAGATAACCGTGGAATTGGCAAGGTTAAGAATATTAAGAAAATAACATTTGATATGTATTTTGTAATGGTGACTGATTCTGACACTATTCTACCTGTGTTTACAATAAAAATGTATTTTTTTAAGTGACGGACACCCGATCTGCCCCTCTGGAGCTGATATTCAGAGGTGTATTTCCCCCAAATGTTGAGTCTCTCTGTCCCACATTACACAGATTGCAGAGGTGTGCATCTGCTATTTGTATTCTCTCATCTGAAAATCTTATTTTACTCTGCCAGGTTGAAGTGAATTAGGGAAAATCAGAAACGACAACCAGCTTGAAATACCAGCCAGCCAGATAGAAATAAAAATGTTTAGTGTTGAGGCAACAAAACAACATATTATAGTCATAGCTTTATCTTTTTTTTTTCTTTCAGACTTGGACAGATTCTGAAATCTTACCAGAGTGTAAATAGTGCCTGGTCTCACGTTGAATCTGAAGCTTTGATGAATGGCTCTGTCTGAAGGCTTTAGTGAGGGATGAAAATGGAAGTGTGCAATCAAACCACAGGTAAGTCCCACTGAGCTCAGTGCTAAGAATTTTAAGCCCAGGCTTGTGTTTGCTTAGCAGCAGGGTTGCCACTCAGGGCTTTATCAGTACCTTGGTGCAAAGATGGTTGATAGTATTACTTTGATAGTTTAAAAAGTCAATTGTCTGCAGTGTTCCAGTGTGAGTAGAATTGAAGTTTCATGACTATCTGATTAAGAGAGACCAAGACACCATCTCGTACTACCCTCTCACTTGCCTGTGCCCACTGAATTTAGTGGCCTTTCTTGCAGTAGTTGGGGAAGGATGGATTTTCCACCACCACAACAAAATATTATTGGTTGCTATCCCTCTTGTAATACAAACTATTCTGAAGTGGCTTCATCTTGAATGGATAATTGTGATCTATTTGGGCCCACTCCTGTGGAGATAAAAGCCTAAATTCAGGGTGGGAAAAATGTAGCCTCCAGATGTTGTTAAACTGTAGCTCTCATCCTCCTTTGCAATTTGTTATGTTGGATAAGGTTTATAGGAGTTGCAGTCCAACATCTGGAGGGCCACCGGTTTCCTACCACCAGTCTAAATTAAATGGCTTATCCCAACTAGTTACTAAACCAATAGCTAAAAATTACACAATCCTTGTTGATACCATGAGTGTGCTTTAGTTGAGACTAGCAGTTGGATTTAGATCTAAAACTTTAGGGGTAAGTTGGTTTGTTGGGCTACATTTATGGAATTCCCTCTGGATGGTTGGAGCTAGATGGGTATCCTATCCTAATGTCCACTTGCAATTCAGAATTTACGACAACATTGCTGGTGGTCTGAGGCCTTAGAAACCCATGGGAAAGTCACAATTGATCTTTCAGTTTCAGGAGAAGACAATGACAAATATTTTGTGAAGAAAGCTTACCAAGAAAATACTTTTGACTGGTCTAACAGGGTAGCCTTAAGCCTGAAACTACTTAAATGCATGCAACAATTTCACTCCAAATATCCTATCCTATCCAATTTGTCATCGATCCACTCCTTTGGGCTTTATGCAAATCTACAATTTGCCCAAATATATGATCCTATGCTTTTCTTTTCCATTTCTGGCTGAACAGCTTAACCATTTGTTCGTCCCATTGAGTACAAGGTCTGCTTATGGTATCTTGGTATCCATTTCATTAGTCGAAATGTCCATCAGTTGTCTTTTCTTCGTGCTATATGTCCTGCCCATATTCTTTTTGTCTCATAGATTTCATTGATCACGTCACGTACTCCACTTCTTTGATGCAGCTCTTTATTGCTGACTTTGTCTGCTACTGTCATGCCACACACCCTAAATCACTCTACATAAAACAATATAAAATCTTCCCCAGTCTTCTCAGGCTTGAAAGCCAAAGAGTCAGCTGGTCTTCCTAGCCAAATAGCAACCAGTTCCACAGGCGAGCAAAGGACTGGAATTAGACTTTGCAAAGCCAAAGGCTTTACTGTAATATTGATAAATTATAGCAATGAACTGCTGGTGGCTAAGACAGGAAAGGGGGGGACAGAGAGGAAAGACCTGTGACACACAATGGATATATGGAAGTATTCTGGCTAAAAGGCTAGAGAAGGGCGGGTGATTTAGTGTGTTTAGGTTTTTTCCTATTAAAACTGTGTATCATTTATCTAAAACTAGAAGTATTTTTGATTTCGGATTTTATTCATTTTTTAAATGGATTTTAATACCTTTATTTGCCCTTAATATCCACTGGGGTTTGGTTCCAGGACCCCTCATGGATACAAAACTGCATAGATTTTCAAGTCCAATTACAGGCCATCCCCAAGTTCCAAACATCTGACCTACAGTTGATTCATAAAGAACAAGGCAGAGACAACAGGAAGAGAGAGAAATCTATTACTAGGAAAGAAAATTCACTCCTGAAAGAGTTAAAATGGGGAAAAGGTGTCTTCAGTGATGTTTATCACTGCTCCTTGTTTCCACAACAAGCCAAATTTTTCAAAATCCAATTCTCACAGGGACAGAAAGTGAAGTGAAATCTTCCAAACAGGAGCACAGACAGCAAAATGAGCACCACAGGAATGTGAGACCCAGGTCTAAACACAGTACTCATTTATGTTTCATATGCACTATATGCATAGAGCCTGAAGGGACATTTATACACAATAGTGTTGATACTTTTGTGCTTGAAATCAAGTTGCATCCAGTGAACTGTCAGAAAGCAAAGCTGTAAACTCTTCTAGCCACCAGTTTGGGAGTATTTTGGGATGCTCAGCCAGTCAACACTTCCCCTTCAGTGCCTTTTTTATTTATTGTGTCAGAAACAAATTAAGAATACAGTTGTAATGTATAAAAAAGACCACAAAGTTAAAAATTTGACATTATGCTACATTTCCTTTGACCAGTAGCTGGCCACTTGGAGTGCCTTTGGTGTCGCTATAAGAAGATCCTCCATTGTACATGTGGCAGGGCTCAGACTGCATCGTAGTAAGTGGTCTGCAGTTTGCTCTTTTTCACACTCACATGTTTTGGACTCCACTTTGTAGCCCCATTTCTTAAGACTGGCTATGTATTTCGTGGTACCAGAGCACCTGATATTGGGACATTCCTTCCTCCTCACTTTGTGGCCTTTTCTGAAAAAAAAGAGGCTTTCTGAGGGTGGCGCAATCTTCCTTGTGTCTGGCTAATTTTTAAAAAAAGTTTGCGGAAAAAGAAAGCCGAACCCATAGGAAACCTATTCTCTCTTAGTTTACTTTCCTTCTTTCTTTCCTTCCTTCTTTCCTTCCTTTCTTTCTGCACACCTCCCCTGAGGCCACTGATTCACCATCTCTCTTCAGGCCTGGAGGGACCTGACATGCCTGGCCTACAGAATGAGAAACAAAGAGCCCTTCCACATCGCCATATAACCCAAAATATCAAGGCAGATCCACAATATCTGCTTTGAACTGGAGCCCTTCCATATAGCTAAATAAAACCTCACATTATCTGCTTTGAACTGAGTCCACAGTGTGGACTCAGATAATCCAGTTCAAAGCAGGTATGTGGCTGTGTGGAAGGACAAAATCTGCTTAGAACTGAGTTATCTGGGGGCCCTTCCACACAGCCACATAATCCAGAATATCAAGGCAGAAAATCCCACAATGTCTGCTTTGAACTGGGTTATCTGAGTCCACACTGCCATATATCCCAGTTCAAAGCAGATAGTTAGAGATTTTATTCAGCTGTGTGGAAGGGGCCTGAGTTCTCACTCAGATAATATGGGATTTTCTGCCTTGATATCCTGGGATACAGAGCTGTGTGGAAGGGCCCTGAGTCCTGTGTTATCTGAGTCCACACTGCCATATAATCTAGTTCAATGTGGATTTTATGCAGCTGTGTGGAAGGCGCCTCAGATATTCCAGTTCAAAGCAGATATTGTGAGTTATCTGCCTTGGTATTCTGGGGCCCCTTCCACCCAGCTGAATACTATTCCACAATCTATAACGAAGTCTTTGAGAGCCGCCAGGGCCACTGAAGGCCCTTCCACACAGCCATATAACACATAATATGAAGGCAGAAAATCCCACAATATTTGCTTTGAACAGGGTTATCTGAAGCCCCTTCCACACAGCTGAACAAAATTCCACATTATCTGCGTTGAACTGGAATATATGTCAGTGTGGACTCATATTGTTGTGTCCACATTGTCCATATTGTTGTGTTCAGTCACTTCCGACTCTTCCTGATCTCATGGACCCACGCCAGAGCTCCGTCGGCCGTCATCACCCCCAGCTCCTTCAGAGTCAAGTCAGTCACTTCAAGGATATACATCCATCTTGCCTTTGGTTGGCCACTCTTCCTTTTTCCTTCCAGTTTCCCCAGCATCATTGTCTTCTCTAAGCTTTCCTGTCTCCTCATGATGTGGCCAAAGTACTTCATCTTTGCCTTGATATTCTGGGTTACAGGGCTGTGTGGAAGGGTCCCAAGTGTGGACTCGGATAACCCAGTTCAAAGCAGATATTGTGGGACTTTCTGCCTTGATATTCTGGGTTCTAGGACTGTTTGGAAGGGCCCTCAGCAGTCCTGGTGGCTCTCAAAGACTTGGTTGATTGGACAAGCTTTATTTAGAAAGCGTGAAGGAGGCAGTACACGGGTTAGATAAAGACGACGCCGTGGAGTTGGGCCGGACTTTCTCTGAGGGCAACAGACAGCGAGGGTTTTCCTCAAGAGGGAAAGCGCGGGACTTGTGAAATGTTGCACGGGTTGCACCTGCCCCGAAAAGGCGCTCACCCCCCCCCACTCCCCCTCCCCTTTCGCCTTCGAGCAGCGCCTCGAGCGCAATCAACGGCCACTGCTGTCCTCCCCTCCCCTTTCTCCCCGCGACCCCGCCTCCCCACCCCGGGCCGTTCCCATTAGCGGCCGGGGGCTCCCCGCCTGGCGCTCTCCCTCCAGGCATTGGCGGGGCCGCTTGTCAATCACACGCCAGCCTCCCTCTGTCTCGCGCTCTCCCCCCCTCCCCTCCCCTCCCAATCTCCCTCAGCGCCGCGCGGCGGGACTCTCTCAGGAGGCGCGCGGAGCCACCATCGCTTTCGAAGGAGAAGGAGGAAGAGATGCTGATGGAGGAGGAGATGCAGGCGGGGGCGGCGGAGGAGGGGGGCCCCATCGTGGCCAAGATCTACAAGCAGCAGCGCAGCCCCTACAGCGTCCTCAAGACCTTCCCCAGCAGCCGGCGGCCGGCCCTGGGCAGGCGCTACGAGCGACCCACCCTGGTGGAGATCCCGCAGGTCAGGGCGCAGCAGCAGCACCATGCCTCCTTCCAGCCCCTGCCGCCCGTCGCCTCCTCCTCCGCGTCGTCCCTCAGCGAGCACCAGCTCCCTTACCACGCGCACGGCGCCTTCCCCGGAGGAGGCCGGGGCTCGCGGACGCAGCTGAGGCACCAGGCGGCTCCCGCGCCCTCCTCCTCCTCCTCGGCCAGGTTCAGCCACGGCCACCAGGGGGCGGCAAGTAGCAGCAGCAGCAGTGGCGGCAGCAGCACTGAGGGAGGCGGCAGCCTGGAGCTCAGCGCAGGTACAGAGAGCAACTTTTCTTAGGTGTGAGAAGCAGCACTGCCCTCCCCAAGCCTTATTATTGTTTGCCACCAATCCTGTCTTGCTCCCCCATTTAACTTTGTATGCCTCCATTCCTCCCCCCCTTTTAATTTTGTAGGCCACAATTTCTTCTCCCTCCCCCTTTAATTTTGTATGCCACCATTTCTCTCCTTGAAGCACTCCTGAGCATGTGCAAAGGGCAAGTGATTTTTTTCCACTTTTCGACTTGAGAAACTGCAACTGGTGTTGAGAGAATTGGCCATCTGCAAAGATGTTGCCCAGGGGACGCCCAAATGTTTGATGTTTTACCATCCCTGTGGGAGGCTTCTCTCATGCCCCTGCATGGGGAGCTAGAGCTGACAGAGGGAGCTCAACCCACTCTCCCCGGATTCAAACTGCTGCCCTGTCACCATTTTTCTCTTTCTTTCCCCCTTTAATTTTGTATGCCACCCAGGCCTGTAGCCAGAATTTCAATTCGGGGGGGGGGCTGAGTTTCGGCGGGGGGCTGAGTCTGAGTGAAAGAGGGTCTAGCCTAGCAAACCTTTTGTATCGTTACCCCAATACCCCCATGCATATGGGATATATTGAGTATGGTGATCAGATCATGATATGAATAAACATAACAGTTTAAATAATGCACCAGTAAGGCCTTTTCGCGAACCACCATGAGAATTTCGGCCCCCCAAACCCCCCCTGCTTCTAGAACATGTTTGAGACAGAGTGTGGCCTGCCATTTTTTTGTGTCAGGAGCAACTTGAGAAACTGCAAGTTGCTTCTGGTGTGAGAGAATTGGCTGTCTGCAAGGATGTTGCCCAGGGACGCCCAGATGTTTTACCATCCTATGGGAGGCTTCTCTCATGTCCCCACATGAGAAGTTGGAGCTGAGAGATGGGAGCTCTCCCAGCTCCCCGGATTTGAACCTCCAACCTTTTAGTCAGCACTCCTGCTGGCACAATAGTTTAACCCATTGCGCCACCGGGGGATAAACGCCCAGATGTTTTACCATCCTTGTGGGAGGCTTCTCTCATGTCCCCTCATGGGGAACTGGAGCTGACAGAGGGAGCTCAACGCGCTTTCCACCCGGTTTCGAACCGCAGACCTGTCACCATTTCTCTCTTTAAAGCTCCCCTGCAAAGGGCAATCATGATAAAACTATTATAACACGATTTTTGTGTTTGGGTTATCAATACCATTACCTAATTGTTCCTGTCATTAAAACCATAGGAAAAGTTAACTGCCAAAATGTTTTTGTGGGAGTGGCATCCTACAGCAGACTTTGCTCTAGTTTTTCAATGAATATCTCAACTGGGTTGCTGTGAGTTTTTTTAGGGGGCCCTGGTGGTGCAGTGGGTTAAACTGCTGAACTTGCTGACCGAAAGTTTGGCAGTTTGAATCCAGAGAGCAGGGTGAGCGCCTGCTGTTAGCCCCAGCTTCTGCCAACCTAGCAGTTCGAAAACATGCAACTGTGAGTCGATCAATAAGTATCACTCCAGTGTGAAGGTAACAGCGCCCCATGCGGTCATGCTGGTCACATGACCTTGGAGGTGTCTATGGCTTAGAAATGGAGATGAGCTCCACCACCCAGAGTTGGACACGACTAAACTTAATATCAGGGGAAACCTTTACCTCACAATGTTCAGACAAGGTTCTTTCCCACTCTAGACATTCCACAGATATATATACATTTCAACTGCTTCAGGGCCCTTCCACACAGCCATATAACCCAGAATATCAAGGCAGAAAATCCCACATTAACTGCTTTGAACTGGGATATGTGGCAGTGTGGACTCAGATAACCCAGTCCTAAGCAGATATTGTGGGATTTCCTACCTTGAGATTCTGGGTTATATGGCTGGGTGGAAGAGCCCAGAAAAGGTTGCCCCAGATGCAGGCAAACCGTCAGGAGAAAATGCTACTGGAACTTGGCCATACAGCCTGAAAACGCTCACTGTAACCCAGTGATTCCAGTCACAAAAACCTTCGACAACACAATATCTGAACCAATTTGACAACGTGTGTGGCAGCCACAAAAACAGACGTTTCTGGACCATAAAGATGGCATTCAAATTAGTATTGCACAATTAAACAGGAAATGACATTTTCAAACCAGGAACAGATTTTTTTTCTTCAAAATGTTTTACACAGCTTGTGCAGGGTCTCTAATAATGACATTTTGTTTCAGTTTTATATACAACAGATGTGATAAATGTATTTTTGGACACTGTATAAGTGCCCCTGAGCATGTGCAGAGGGCATGAGTTATAATACACTTGTGTAGGGTCTCTAAAAATTACCTTTCCTTTCAGTTTTATTTACAACAGATGGGATAAAGGTATTTTTTGGACACTGTATAAGTGCCTCTGAGCAAGAGTGATAATATGCTTGTGTAGGGTCTCTAAAAATTACATTTTTTTTCAGCATTATGTAAAGCAGATATGGTAAATATGTTTTCTTGTTTGCCATGTAAGTGCTCTTGATCTTACGAAGAGGGAAGACTAGTAACATGCTTTGTTTAGGGTGTTCAAAAATCACAGTTCCAAATTCAGTTTTATATACCATAGACATGATAAAGAGCATATGTTTCAACTCTTACGTACAATTAGACATAGTAAAGGTATTTCTGGACACTATGTAAGTGCCCTTGAAGATATGCAGAGAGCAAACTGATAACATTTGTGCGTGTTGTCCAAAAATCATATCTCCAATTAAAAATGGTAAAGATAGCTTTCAGACACTGTGTGTTTGCAGAGTGTTCAAGGCGCTCAATATATGTTGTTTTGGCAATGTGATTGTCCTGTAAAGTTGCCTAGGTTTCGGCATCCCTGAGTATGTATGGAGGATAACACGATTGTTCATAGTGTCCAAAAATTATCTTCGCTATTTGGAAATGATAAAGGTATTTTTCAGACACCATGCATTTGCAGAGCACTCAAGGTGCTCAGCATGCATTGTTTTGATAATAGGACTGCGTTGAGGTTTGTGATTTGGTTATGGGTTGAGCACATTGTTGGTGAGGGGGTGCTGAGTGGAATGGTTGGTTCGTGGATGAAGAGAGATTTGAACCAAAGGCGCACACACAGAAGCAACTCTCTTGAGGATTTGATTGTGTCCAGCCTTACACATCTTGTAGGGAATCTGTCTCGAAATTGACAGCTGCTAAACAGTGTACTCTACAACTGTGGAAATAGAGGAAAGGCTCAGAGAATTTGGATGAGACTATTTCACATGTTACATTTTTTATACTTGTCCAGAAAAATAGCAAAGTTCCCAAAAGGTTGAGTTTAGAAACTATTGGAAAAACAGGTCTGTTGAGCTTCGGTTTCTGTTGTTAGGATTTAGCTCTGGATTGTTTGTATGGAAGGAAAAAAAAAGGCACAAGCATTTTATTCTTGTCTCTGAATAACTGTAGTACCGTCCCTGATCCTGGACGAACACCATCTCTTGTTGAATTACGGACATAAATCTTCATAAATTTCAACCTCACAGGCAAGAATGAATAATTTTACCATTTTACTGTTTTCCCTCTGTGAGAAAGTCATTGAAACTATTCACAATTCAGAACTTGCTCTCTGCAAAAAAAATTTAAAAAATCTTTGTTTTTTTGTGCAGGAAATACCATTTTCTGCCTATTTTAAAAATAATAAACCATCGTGTTCATTTTTTTTGACGCAGAATACGTGCTGCCATACTAAATATGTAATCTGTCTAGGATTCTCCTCATCAGGGTTTCCCAACACTTGAGAAAACTCATTTTGTAAATGTGAATATTTTCAAGGACTCTTTCCATCTCTATTTGGAATCAGCCACAGAAGGCCCAGATCTGCTCTTTGGAGTTTGGCTACCTATTTCCTGCTACCACTCCAAAGGTGAGAAATGTGTTTGTGAAAGGAGTATTGACTGTGGCAACAGGTCTCGCTATTGGTTTCATTCCAAGGGAGAACAGCTGTAGATCTCCAGATGTTTTTCACCTGAACTTTTCTTCAGACTTGTCCAATAGCGAGACATTCAGCAAATTGGAGTAAAAAAAACCCTTCAGTCCCAAAGGCACTGATATTTATCATGTAGATCAGGTGCATGGTGTCTACCGGCAATCCTCTCCTCAGAGTGGCCTTCTGACAAAATCATGGTTGCTGACAAAGTTTCTGCTACTCCATGGGGTTGCTCATAGCCTTTGCCAAGAGCTGAGCTGGCCCTACAATTAGATAGAGGGAAGCGACCTTCTATGGGGCAGAGACTGAAGTAGCAGAATGGGTAAAGCTATATGTTGCAAAGTGCCTGTTGTGCTAAGGATAATGCTGTCCTTATTTTGATATTTAAATAAGTTTCCTGAAGTCATCTCCTCCTAATTTTGCTGTATGTCCACCCAAAAACCCATTGGCAAAGTATTTTCAGTAGTAGAACACCCCAGACAAAATGATGTCTAAGGATTTGCAGTTTGCAGGAAACATGGTACCAGAAGAGGATTAGAAAAGATGGAAGAGAGCAGCTGCTGTGCCGAAAGGTTCTCGAGCATTCTCTGTTCGTTCCATTGAGACTGGACCTTTGCTGTGGGGAAAACAGGTTTAATTACTGCAGGAATTTCCTAAACCCTTACCAAAATGGGGTTCCTCTAACCTTTATTTATTTGTTTACTATATTTCTATACTTCCATTCTCAGCCCGGGGGCAACTGATGGCGGTTTACAGAATGGCACAATTCGATGCCCATAACAATATAAAAATAGCTAAAACATAGATAAAATTCACTACATAATAACATCAATAAAAACATCATAAAACAATAAATCCTCTGCATTTAATTACCAAATCATGGGCTTTGCCAACGTCCCTCTCCTCCGCCACAGGGATCACCCCACAATATGAGCAGCACTGGGAAAAAGCTGAAGGGTACATCACTGTATTGACCTTGAAGGAGCTGGGGGTCGTGACAGCCAACAGGGAGCTCTGGCGTGGGCTGGTCCATGAGGTTATGAAGAGTCAG